CTCAATTTAAAACCTAGTTTTGGCCAGACAGAGTATTAGGACAATTATCTGTATAATCCATCCGAGGAAAATGTACGCATCTGCTGGCCCTGAAATCACTTGTTTAAAAAAAGTCTTGAAAGCAATTATTTTAGTAATTCTAGATTTAGCTGGAATAGTCCCAGGAATTGCCTCAAACTATGGTTCCTGTAGCTCAATGGTTCTCAACCTGGGGTGATTGTGCTCAGGTGATTTGATGATTTGGTGATTCTGGAGACCTTTTTGGCTGTCAGAACTGAGGGTGGGGCATAGAAGAGGATGCTACTGACCTCTAGTGGGTAGAGGCCAGGGATGCTCTACATGTCCATCCGATGCCCAGGACAGCCCCCTCTCTGCTGTAACACTATTTGGTCCAAAATGTCAATGAGGGGCTGGGGTTGTAGCTCAGTGGTAGAGCACTTGCCTGGCATGGGCGAGGCACTGGGTTTGATCCTTAGCACCACATAAAAACAAGTAAATAAAATAAAGGTTAAATTTTTAAAAAATGTCAATGGGGCTGAGACTGAGAAGCCCAGCTTTAGCCAACGATACTTTATACAGTATGAAGTAAGATCCCTTGTTTGGAAAAGTCAGACTAAAATGAAAGAAAATGCTTAATTGTAAAGAATATTTTAAGACAGAAATACCCATAACCCTTACTTTCTTCATTCTGTTTAGTATCTAGCCTTCAACTTCTGCCCAATGAATATAGATTTATAAGATTGAATTCTGGTGTAAATACAAGTTTATATTCTTGTTTACAATTAAAGATGTCACTTTCTGAGTCTTTGTTTTACTTTAATAGAGACTAGTCCAGTGTGATAAAATCTATAAACCATCCTCTCTTTCTTTCTTTCCTTTTTTAAAAAAGGAACTTGGGTAAAAGCCAGTTCTCCAGTATGAAATCTGGCTTTGGAGACTTGGCCATAGATTACTCTCAAGTGATTTTACAACAAAAACTATTTTTCAAGAAATAAGTACTTGCAGAACATTTTAGAAACTGTGCCAGTGTAAATATTTCCTCCAAGAAACAGTTACTACTTTAGAGAAACACTATTTACATGTTTGTAATATAAAAAAAGAAACCCACATTTCTTCTCAGACTGCAGAAGGGTGACTCTGTGGCCTGGCTTCAGCAGAGTCACAGCATGGGACCCAGGCTCCTTCAGGGCTAGGCCTGTGGCCTCTGGTCTGAGAGGAACCTACCTAGTCTGGGCTGATGAAGCCTACAAGCATCATCAAAAGCTGAGAGTAGTCTTGCTCAACAGATCAGGCTGTAAAAGACAAAAACACCAAAGCTCATGCAGATGGAGATAAATATAGCCATTTTTAATAATGATGACTGAGGAAATGTTTATATTTTAACAGATATGGGAACCGTTGGAATGGACTCTCCAGTCCTGCCTGAAACGCTCAACGTATCCCAGTGTTACCTGAGGTCCTCCTGCCCTCCAAAGTCCAGAGAGTACCACTGCCTAGACCCCCCCTCCCCATTCTACTTTCTAAGATTCTTACAAATTTCTTGAGAGTTATGGCTCTGAGCCCTTATTTCTGTGAATTAATTCAGTTGATGGAAAATGCTACCACTCCGCATTTTTTTGCCCTATACTATACCTACCCAGAAAAAAAAACTCACCTCCTAATTCAATCCTCAGCCCCTGACTCAACGCAGACACCCCCAGGCTCACCTTGTCCATAGAGCACTCGCTTAGCACGTGTGAGGCACTGGGTTCAACTCTCTGCACCACAGATAAATAAATAAAATAAAGGACCATTGACAACTAAAAAACGTATTTTAAAAATAAAAAGAGCAATGAGGGCATAAAGGCAACACAGATGACCTGGAGGCTCCTAGTCGGTGCAGCAGTTATTCAGAGGCTCTTGACCACCGCGGCCCTGGGGGATGGCATGGCGGTCATCCTCATTCCTGGCCTCTCATCTCGCTTCCCGCCCCCTTCCTCCCAGGGCTCTCCAAATTTCATACTAAATTACACAGAGGTACATCTGCTCTTTGGGGTCTCTACTCCTAAAATCAATTCCAGATCTCCTTTATGTCTTTTTTTTTTAATTTTTTAATTTAAGTGGACCTACAATTTTAGAAAGTAGTTGTTATTGTTAACATCAGTTTATTTTCCTGTTGTACATCTGTTTTAATTAGAGGAGCCATTCCTGGAGTGCAAGCCTGGATGTATTCTCGGCCACATCCATATATCTAGTCAAAGAGCAGCCGCTTGACTCCATGGCAGAGCCCGGTCCTGGACTCAGGGCAGTTTGGCCTGCAGCCTTCGGCCCTGGTTCCTTGTCCTTGGGCCTTGCAGCCCTCCATTGTTCCTGGCCTTCGAGGGCTTCCTTCCATCCATCGCCCACATCGGCAGCCTCATTTTCCAGTCTCTCATCTGGTCTCTCTTGTACCCAGCCCGCGTTTGCAGAATGTGCCTGAGCATAGAGGCCATAGTTGACATCTCCGGGACTCCGGGAGAGGCGACTCTGAGATGGCTGCTTCTGTTTTTATTTTGCTGGCTACTTTTTGTCTCCAGATGGTAATTATGGTAGTCCCTTTAATCCCCAGTGCCTCCTGGGAGGTGGGTTTCCCCAAATTTGTTGTCCCACAAATCCTTTCATTCATTGCCTGCTCTGTGCTGAGAGGTGGGGAAGGAAGGTGCTTGCCCTCCAGGACTCATTATGAGTTGTGGGGAACGGTGTCAAATATTTTAGTGCTGAAAGTACGTTGGGTTTCAGAACTGGGGTCAGATGCTGTGGACAGAAACGGTGAGACTTTTTCCTTTTTCTCTAAAGGCGTTTTCTTCCTCTCCTCAGCACATCACCACCTCTACCCACCAGCCACATCTGTTCCTCGTCACACAGCACTTTGAGTGTGGGTGCTGTGAAATCTTCCTTCTTCCAAATAATTCTGCCTGTTAAAAAAAAAAAAAGGAAGAAGAAGAAGAAGTATATTTTAGCTTTAAAAATTACAGCTCTGGATCTTGAATTTCCTCTTTACTCTCACAAAATGACCAGATCTGCTCATATTTGAAGAAGAGTCGGGAGGCATCGATTATTTTACCCTGTCTCGTACATATAGATAGGATGCCCCTCCTTTTATTATGTGAATAATATAATGAGTGGACTCACCCCTCTTAGCACCTCTTGGTTATACTGTAAACATTTTATGATGGGAAGTCTCCGCAAAGACAGGGAAAAAAAATTGGGGGAAGTTAATATAATGACAGCAAAGGTTATTTACTGTGAAAATTAAGCAAAAGGATTCCTTTCTCTGTTAGCATTTAGCATCTCAATAGGTGAATAAAAATATACACAAAAATATTATCAGAAGCAGTTTATTATAAATGTTACTTTGCTAGGTTATTCACTTTACTCACCCTCTGAGATTTCTAGTTCCCCCAGACTGTCAGAGTGGGAAGAGAGAAGACCATTTATCTAATCCAATTCCTTGGGAAGAAATGCTTAGGCAATATTAAGAATCTTCAATTATCTAATTTTATAAAAGAGATGATTTATATTCTGTAGTCAGTAACGTGTGATACTGATTATTTCTAATCCCTTAGAAGAGATCTGACATTGTGCTTTTGGTGCTTTACAGCATGAAATCGTCATGTATATTTCACCAAAGAAGTAACAAGAATAATGGCCTCTGCAGTCTGCAGTCATTTTCGACTTACACACTGCAACATGGTTTTGCCCTGGGGCAGGGAAGTGGGGATTTTTCTCTACTTCAAAAGAATGAAAAATTATCATCACTCTATCCAGAACCATTATAGACTTCAGAGACTTTGGCATGAAATATTCAGAAAGTTTATTTTAGAATTCAATATTTTAAAAGTCTGCTTTAAAACTATTACAGTGATTAGTGGCTCTCTGGCTTGGGCCAGTCTTTCCTCTAAAATGTCCTGTGTCATGGTTGATACTGTTTGTTTTTTCAACAAAATATAATCTGCCTAAACCACAGAAGGCATGTAAGGCATTAGTTCAGAACACCCCCCAAAAGGGGCTACGACCACCACTCAATTATCCTTTCAAACGCACTTGGTAACGAAGTTCTTCTGTTGGTAACAGTTTGGCTGTGTTACTTATGCTGTGATTTTGTCCCTCTGACCTGCGTTCTTAACCATGAGGAGTGGGCATTGTTCTCCACCTGTGGTTCAGGGAGCCAGGCCCCTGTGTCAGCAGGCCCAACCCCACTGAGGCCACACACACCCTCAGTCAACCAACCAGAGGTGCCCTTCATCGTCCCTCTTCATAGGAGTCAGAGACGCTTATGAGGTGTTCAGGGATTGACAGTGTTTCCCTGGCCATGACTGGAGCCCTGGAGGTGTGGTCAGCTGTGCTGGAAACTTCTCCCCGGGATGATGTAGGAAAGCCATGGGCGTAGAAGATGGAGCCTGGCTTTAAGTTTGAGTTCCAGTGCTGCTGCTTCCTGGGAGGGTGATCCTGAGAAAGCTGGAGAGCCTCCTGAAGGCTCAGTGTGTCCTTCTGTTAATGGACCCGTCTCGGCTTTGGAGCAGATTGATTGAGTCACGTGAGGTGCAGGCCATGCTCTACGGGATGTCCGTCTCTGTTCCTGTCCTGTTGGTGCCCAATGTCTTCCTTATCTCTTATTTGTTTGTCCCACTGTCTATTATAATGCATGTATTTTTTTCTGTATATCATAGAAAAGTCTGTGCAGGACAACTAGAAAAGCAGTTGTTCCTCCTTTTCTTGTATAACCTGTACATTTGGCTTCGTTCCTTTAAATAGTTCGAATATATTATTTCTGTAGGTTTTAATAAATACCTTTTCTTTCATCCCCACCTTAGGTATTATCAATGTAAGAAAAAACACATAGACATCAATCTTAGCCTTCATGTAGATGAAATAGGTTCCTTTCTCATACAGGCACACAAAGAAAGGAAGGTTCTAATGTACTCTTGATACGTAGGTGTGAGGCGAATACTGTGTAAATATCTTTGCGTTTCATTTTCCAGGGAAGTAGATCAAGACTCAGATGGTCTCGTCAGCTTTAGAGACTTCGAATATGCTATGAAGAATGGACAAAATGAAGCCCAACCGTCGAGATCTACTTTTGGCAATTCCGGGGAGAGCTGTAAATTGTAATATATTTAAAGGTCAAACAGACCTTGCCCTCGTGACTTTGTGATCTGCATACTTGTGATTAAACTCTTAATCATAGTTTCTGGATGCTGATAATATACTTGGGCTTGGAATCCCAGAGGTGGTGGTGTGTACCAATCTCCCTCCGTGTGGCTAGCAGCCCTGAGTCAAGTGCCGCTGCTGACCCTGCCACTCGGCCATCCCCCACCTCTCTTGACACTCCACACTGCAGGTTGCAATGCTCCACTCCCTTGGCCATGCACCACCGCAGGTCCCTGGTTCCCATCAGCTCCCCAGGTCTGGCAAGGGGCAGCTTTTCCCACCAATGGTGCCAGTTGCCTCCATTCATTCCACTTTGATTGAATGAACAATAGTATCGAAGTGTCCCACTTGCCTACTGTGTTCCAAGCACTGAGAAACAAAGAGGTAAGGCTTCTCTAAGTTCACGTACCCAGAGTCCAGATCCACACTGCACTGGTGCTGGCTGTGCAAGACAAACCAGGTGGGCTTCCACAAGGTGGCCCCGTCCACGTCATACATGGGAGAACAGCACGCACTAGGGGTCCTGGGGACACAGATGTGTTTGTAGAAGCTCTTTGGGTGGCCTGAGCCTGGGCTTCCTGATACACAGAAGCAAAACCTGGGCTGCCCAGTTGCCCCTGGTACACACTTCTGGTTCCGGTGATGCTGCCCTGCACCAGAGCCTTGGCCAGCTGGGCTCACAGTCTCCACGGTCTCCCATCCCCCTGGGCTCCAGGGATGCCATCCTGGAGCAAAAAATGCACCACTGGACATACAGCATTTATTAAAATGATTCAAAAATAATGGTATCAATACTAATATTTTATTTGTTCCTAGAATTCACTACAATAATATTTGTAAAACAATTCATATTTTTTAAAATAATTAATATTTTTAAAGTATTAAATAATTAAAGGCAAAGTAAAATGTAGATTTTTAAAACAAAAACATTAAACAAGTTTCATTCTTATACAATTATTTGCAGATAATTTTAATAAAGTTTTAAAATTGTGATAATCCCGAGATGCCTAAGGAAGCCTACAGCTAAGGGTCGTTTGATATTCTGCATGGGGTCCTGGAATGGAAACAAGGACATTAGGTAAAAGCAAATCAAGTGTGGACTTCAGCTACTATTAATGTATTGACATTGGTTCATTAGTAGTGACAAATGTATCAAACTCATATAAAATATTAATAATGGGAAACTGGGTGAGGGGTGTATGAGATCTCTGTACCATTTTCTCGGTTTTTCTATGAATCAAAAACTATTCCAAAACTGAATTTTGTTTAAAAAAATAAAGACTTATTCAAAAATTAATAAACCAAACTTTACCTAAAATGAGGAAACATTGAAAATCATTAAGCAGTACAAATGAAATGTTATTTCAAAAATAAAATGGATCAATGGTGTCACTGAGTAGCATATATGTTTTGTACAAATTGTCCCAATTGATAAGAAACTCTTTTTGACTTCGGGTAGAGTTTTATTCAGGTATTTTCATTATAAATTTAATAATTGAGTAATCGATCCTGACCTCACAACATGAATTACAAAGCTTTTAGATTTCTAAAATAGGAAAAAGTTAAAAACACTAGCAAAGTGCCATTATTTCATTAATTGCCAGAATTCCAAAACCTTGTACTGTAGGCACTCTTTGGACCTCATTTTTTTTTTTTTTGAACACATGACAAGAGAAAGGGAGGGATCCATCCTGCAGTGGCTGTGGGAGGCAAGAGACAGGTTGGGAAACGCTCTTGGACAACTCCCTTGACCCTGGAGTCAAGACTCCTCTTTTTGTCTCAATGACAGAAAACTACCCAAACTAGCTTAGACTATAAGGGAGTTTACTAGAGAACGCTGGGCTAGCATATGGAATCTAACAGGAACATGAGAGGATACACCTGGGTTTCCAGGATAACCAGACCCAACTTCACCCACACCTCCAGACCCTGCCATAGTTCCTGACAGCCTCCCACCATTCTAGAAAGGAATCAACCCATGATCCATCCATCCAATTCTAAGTCCAGAGACCTCAGAAAGAAGCTCTGGTGGCTCCCTGCATCCATCAGTTCTGGTTCACACAGAGGTTATGGACATGGCCAGTGGGGATTCAGCAGGTATACCCAGGGCTGGTCATAAGAGAGGGGCAGCTGGTAATATCTGGGCAGCCATTCTGTTTTCTTTCTCAGGGAAAAACAATATAACTGAGGCCTCATCCAGGAAGGAGAACATCTCTTGGATTTGCTCCTTATGAGGATCCAGGCTCTCAGAGCAAAGTCACAAAGAAAGAGGGAGAATGAGAATCTGCTCCTGTCCCCTTCCTCTCCTTATCGCTTGTCCTAGGCCCAAATCACATCATCATCCAGTAAGCTTGTTCTCCCAGTATCCCAGTCTCTGTATCCTCGATTCACATGATCCTGCCTGTGCCATGTGACATTATTGGTCTGACCTCAGTTGATGGCCCAAGGGTGGGCATCTATTCTAGCTGGTCACTCAGTCTGTGCCCTTGGAGGACCTGGAGAGTGGGCGTGAGTGAGCCAGCGGGGTCCCTGGAGGCTGAGTGGGGAGTGTGGCTCAGGAGCGAGTGGCAGTGTTTCTACCACGCGGCCTGGGAAACAAAGGCGGCTGTTTTGCAACAAGAACAAAGGAAAAAAAGTAGACACCAAGATGGGAGCAAAGGAAGAAAAGAGAGCAGCCCTTGGTGCCTGGTTTCTGGTTAAACTTGTGTACAAGGTCGAGTCGTAACTTTTGGGGTCCTCTGAGGTAACCCTGTATCCTTCCAATCAATTTTTCTGCTCAGCCAGCTGGAGTTTCTTTCTGTTATTTGAAACCAAGAGAACCCTCAGTGTGGTGAGCATGGAGCCAAGGGCAGAGTCCTAGGTGACATTAACATTAAGGGGTAGCAGAGAAGAACCTTCTAAGGAGGCTCAGAAGGAGCAGAGACAGCTGACTTCCCTCTCCCAACAGTGCCTCTGCTTGACCTCACTGCAACTGGTCCCAGTCTTCCCTGTCACAACAGCCCTCAGGGAGGTCACCAGTGAGCTACTGATGGCCAAAACCCTTCTGCCCTTTCGAACCTCATTGCACAATCCCTTCCTGAGCTGATAACTGCACCTCTGGAATCCACTTTGGCCTCCCCGACAGGGTCTCTCGTGGTACTACTGTACCCAGGTTTTTCCTAACGTCTTTTCTAGCTTCCTGCCCTACAACCATTTCATAAGCAGGCCCAAGGTCCTGGGATTGGCCAATCTTCTTGAGCAATACATCCTCCGAGGGTGGTTTCATCCACTGCCGAGATTTCAGTTGTATGACTCGCAGCAAATCCTATCTCTGATCTTTACCCCTGCTCAGCTCCAGACCCATGTTCTCATTTGCCCATTGGACCTTTCCACCTCACTGAACTAAAATCAGACGCGTTGTTCCCCTCATTTTCAAAATTGGTTTCCTATTGCGTGTTTTCTATTTCTGTTAATGGCAACCTCCCTGTGCCGATTCCCACCCCACTGTCACCGAAGCCAGCTGTCTCAGTGTCTTTTCAGATCTCCCCCATCTTCCTTAGCCCTGACATCCCTCCTGTCACTGAATCCTTCTGAGCTTGTCTCAGTAAAACTTTCATGAAACCTTTTTCCATTCCATCCTGGTCTTTCTGCCCATGTTCTTATTCCCCATCCTACCCTTCCACGCAGTCATTCATTCTATTTATTCACAGAAAGACAAGTAAAAGATGGACAGAAGTAAGAAGCAGACCCTGCTGTCAAGAAATCTTAGTCTAGCGTGTCACTGATGTTCCCAAAGCACAGACAAAATCACTTTTTCTCTGCTCAAAAGCTCTCAGTAGCCACCTCTTCTATTGGATAATGTCTAAACCTGCAGCCTGCTGTTCAAAGCTGCCTGTAATGTGGTATCAATTTATATTTTCAGTTTCACTGTTCACAGCTACCTTTGCCGTACCATCCCATGACCATTTGTGGCACAGGGAAAATGCACATACCCACAGTCCATTCACCTCAAGTCACCCTAAGGTAGCAGATTTTTTTCCCAAAATAAAAAAATAATAATAATAACATTCTTAGAATGGATATCTGATAATAATAAAATGCAACTATTAAAGACTTACTTGAAAAAGCATATTGAAGCACCTTCATCTTAGCGTTCCTTTCCTACACAGCTGCCACTTTGTCAGTGGACAAGAAGAACTAAATATGCTGGGTATTTTGTGCATTCTGCTTATCTTGAAACTGTTGAGATAGACATTAGCCATTCTTGTTTATGAATGAGGAGGCAGTCTCTCAGTCTAAGGAACTTGACTCCGGGCAAGCGATGGGGATGCATAAACAATGTCAGGGTGGTGACTCAAACTTGGCTAAAAACGGACCTTTCCTTCTTGTCCATGTATAGATATTAAAAATTAATTCACATCTTATGCATCACCAAAAACTAACCAAAATTACATTGGATGATTAATGGAACTTCAAAAGACAAAGATTGACATGTGCTGCAGGCTCTAAAAGCACTATTCAAAGAGAATGAGTTCCAGAAAAGCGCTGAACAATGGCAGCATCTTTGAATAGGTATGCATCTCACTGGGTAACACTCAGGTCTACAAATTCAGTATGGTGTAGCTCTACTTGACATGCACACTGTACTCACAGACTTGTGATTTAGGATTAATCAAAACAATTTGTTGCTTTCCTTTTTCTTTGCTTGTAACTTTTGAGAGATTTGTTTGGAACTTGCAGTATTAGGCAGTTAAAAATAAAAACCACACGTGCACACACAGAGAGATTGGAATTCAGTGGCCTTAGAGGTAGCACCTCACAAAGTGACCTTTCTTACAAAACAAATTTAAAACAGATTGGTCATATGCATTGAAAAGTAGCCTTACAGTTTAACACATGAAATATGGAGTGCCCAATCTAAATTCCTCTTAGATTACATTGATAAAAGACTCAGGAATGTGAATAATAAAGAACACTGTTCTAACCTCAGAGAAAATGCAGATTGATTTATATGAAAACACAAGCTGAAATTCAAATATAATCCCTATTTTGTGTTTACTGTTTCTTGGGGTTGGGGGAGACTCCAAGGAGAGAAAAATGGGCTAAATTGGCTAAAGTATGTGACTCCAGAAAGAGCAATTCCAATAATATTGAATTTATAGAAAAAAAAATTTGACCAAGAGGCTGGAAATATATTACATGTATTGTCATAGCAACAGTCATTGTAAGGGAGAAGTCAGGTTTGGACATCTTTCTTATTTTAAATAAGGAAGGCAGGCTTGATTTTAAATGACTTTTCTAAGGTCAAATGTGTCAGAGATGGTGCTTGAATCAATTTCTTTACCAAGCTTTCCCTATTGCTGCTGGTATTGGACTGTTCTTGGGAACCAAGCTGCCCCTCCCTCCACCTCTCCCCTCTCTGCCCTTCCTTCCTCCCTCCCTACTTCTTCCCTCCCTCCTTCCCCCACTGCTTCCCTCCTCCCTGCCTTCTTTCCTTCCTTCCTTCCTTCCTTCCTTCCTTCCTTCCTTCCTTCCTTCCTTCCTCCCTCCCTCCCTCCCTTGTCTCCCTATCACATCCATAAATAGAATCACAATCATTGGGTCATTTAGGATTCAATCTGACCCTCCTCTTGGATTATATCTAAACATATTAGCAGAATTTCCCCCCTTACTACAAATGGAAACCAAACTTCCAGGACCCTTCATGTCTTCCACCACACATGAAACTTTTTGGCCGTTATCTTTTCAACTTCTTCTTCTACCACATTCTTGAAGAGATTGTCCTTATCAGACTTCAATGGCACATATCTTGAATTGTCAACGATATTAATCTATCATGTCTCATTCTCTGTTCTCATTCCTCCTCCTCCTCCTCCTCCTTTCTGTGTCATTTGGATGATTCTTGCTCTCATTCATTGCTGGAAGGGCATGCAAAATGGTGCAGCCACTTTGGAAGACAGCTTGGCAAGTTTTTACAAAGCTAAACATAGCCTTCCCACATGATCCGGTGATCAAACACCTAGATATTTTACCCAACTGATTTGAAAACTTATGTCCACACAAAAACGTGCATGTGAATGTTTATAATAGCTTTATTCTTAATTGTCAAAAACTGGAAGCAGCCAAGATATGTCCTCAAGAAGTGATTGGATATTCTATAAAATACCTGAGCAGTACTGTTGAAATATTGTCAAGGTCACCAAAAACAAAGCAAACCTGAGAAACTCCAAGAGGAGGCTAAGGAGTCTTGGTGACTAAATGTCATCTAATAGCCTGGATGACATCCTGGAACAGGAAAAAAGAACATTAGGTAACAACCCAGGAAATCTGAATAAAATGTGGACTTTGGTTGATAGTAATAAACTGATAATAGTTCATCAACTGTAGCAATATAAGATATTAACAAAAAA